TGGCTTTGTATATTGTATATTGTATATTATTATTATTATTATTATTATTCTCCTCCTTCCTACTCCTCCTCCTCCTCCTCCTCCTCCTCCTCCTCCTCCTCCTCCTCCTCCTCCTCCTCCTCCTCCTCCTCCTCCTCTCCTCCTTCTCCTTCTCCTTCTTCTCCTCTTCCTCTCCTTCTCCTCCTCCTCCTCGTCTTTTCTTCTCCTTCTCCTTCTCTTCCTCCTCTCCTTCTCCTTCTCCTCCTCGTTTTGTCCTTGTTCTCCTTCTCCTTCTCCTTGTCTGCCTCCTCCTCCTCCTCCTTCTTCTTCTTCTTCTCCTCTTCCTCTCCTTGTCCTCCTCCTCTTTTCCTCTCCTTCCGTTGTCTCATCTTGTCTCCTCTCTCTTCGTCTTCTCTCTTCTCATCATCATCTTCTTACCTTGCCTCTTCTCACCTCTTCATCTTCACTTTCATCTTCTCTTCCCAGGCCAAGGTGATGGGGACTGGGACGAGGGACCTGATGGGGACTGGGATGGGGTGGTGGGACCTGGATGAGGTGATGGGGACTGGGACGAGGGACCTGATGGGGACTGGGATGGGGTGGTGGGACCTGGATGAGGTGATGGGGACTGGGACGAGGGACCTGATGGGGACTGGGATGGGGTGGTGGGACCTGGATGAGGTGATGGGGACTGGGACGAGGGACCTGATGGGGACTGGGATGGGGTGGTGGGACCTGGATGAGGTACCTGCTGGGGACAGGACAAGGGTAACTGGGATGAGGTACCTGCTGGGGATGGGGAGGTGGGAACTGGGAAGAGGTGCCTGCTGGGGACAGGATGATGGGGACGAGGATGAGGAACCTGCTGGGGGCAGAGCAAAGGGGGCGGTGCCCGACGGATCCCGCGGGGTCGGGAGCGCCGAGGGCCGGAGCGCCGGGAGCTGCCGGCTCAATGCCGGGGCCTCGCTCCCACGAGCGGATGAAAGGCTCCCTGTCCAAACGGCATTAGACGCGCTGCGAAGGCTCATTCCCGATCGGTCACGCTCCGAGGCGCAGCTGCAAAACCCCCTCCGGGAGCCCGGGATGCTCCGGGGGCTTTGTTCGGAGCAGCCTCGCTTCCCGGGGAACCGTGACAAGACGATGGGATTACGGAGCAGGAGAAATAAAAAACAAAAAAAATCAAAATCACCCTGGCTGCGACCACGCCGGCACGGAGATGAATCCCGGGTGGAAAAACAAAGGAGACGCGCGAATCCCGGCGCTCCTGCCCCATGGACGGCGGCCCCGTTCGCTGCACGTCCGTCTTCGACGGTCCCCAGGGATGCACCGGCCCCGCGGCGTTTGGGGCAGGGGCACGGGGAGGGTTTGAGGGTCCCCAAGGAGGGAGGGTGGCTTTTTGGGGGTGTCTCCCCCCCCCATTTCTGCTCCCAAATCCCAGCAGCGAGCGAGAAAGGAAAAGGAGGAAAACCTTGCAAGGAGGAAAAACCTTGCAAGGAAGAAAACCCTGCAAGGAAGGAAACCTTGCAAGGAGGAAAACTTTGCAAGGAGGAATGCTTGCAAGGAGGAAAAACCTTGCAAGGAAGGAAACCCTGCAAGGAGAAAAACCTTGCAAGGAAGAAAACCTTGCAGGGAAGGAAAACTTGCGAGGAGGAAAACCTTGCGAGGAGGAAAACCTTGCAAGGAGGAAAATCTTGCAAGGAAGGAAACCTTGCTAGGAGGAAAGCTTTGCAAGCAGGAAAACCTTGCGAGGAGAAACCTTGTGAAGAGGAAAACCCTGCAAGGAAGGAAACCTTGCGAGGAAGAAAACCCTGCAAGGAAGAAAAGCTTGCAAGGAAGAAAAGCTTGCAAGGAGGAAAAACCTTGCAAGGAGGAAAAACCTTGCAAGGAAGGAAACCCTGCAAGGAAGGAAACCTTGCGAGGAGGAAAACCTTGCAAAGAGGACAACCTTGCAAAGAGGACAACCTTGCAAGGAAGAAAAAACTTGCAAGGAAGGAAACCCTGCAAGGAGGAAAACCCTGCAAGGAAGGAAACCTGCAAAGAGGAAAAACCTTGCAAGGAAGGAAACCTTGTGAGGAGGAAAAACCTTGCAAAGAAGGAAACCTCGCAAGGAGCAAAACCCGCCATCGCAAAGGTGAAACCCAGGAGAAGGCAGAAGCGACGGCTCGGCGGAGCCCGGCAAGCCAAGGCCTGCCGGCGAGCCCGTGGCAGCGCGCCGAAGCCGGCGGGCTGAAGCGAGCGGTTCTGCACCTTCCCGCTCGGAGCAGCCGAGATCCCTGCGATCCGGCCCGAAACCCGGCGCTGGCCAAAACCCCGGCGCGGTTTTGCTTTGCCGAGGTTAATCGGGTTAGCGCGCGGCTAAAGGGCGTAGCTTGTCCGGGCGCCTGCTCCCTAATGAGCATCTCATTTGAATCCATGCAAAATAGCAGGGAGCATGGAGACATGCTAATTAAAGTGATTGCTGTTCTCTAATTAAGCAGCAATTCCCCCCCCAAAGAGGGTATTTTCATGCAAATAGCGCCCGAGGAGGGGAAAAAAAAATTGTCCGGGGAGGGAACGGGATTTGGCAGCATCCCCATTTGCGAAGGAGCAGCGTTATAATCTCGATTTTGATTCTTTTTACCTCAAAAAAACCCAAGCTTGGCCATCTCGCTCCTGCACTGCGAGCGCTCCTC